GGGGTCCTCTGCTAGCAAACCCTAAGTGCAAACCTCAAAATACTCCCAGCCAAGTGGGAGAGTTCAGACGTCTGAGGCATGCATTTATCTCAGTGGGGATATAACTTGGGGGAGTTCTTTGCTCCTGCAGTACCTTCTAGGAACACCTGGTGACTGATGAAATATAATTACCACCCAAGTGTGCTAGGAGGGAAGGTACTGTGGGTGAACTAGCCTGTATACAACTACCCCCTAGAGCTGGGTGCTGGCTGCCACATGCTCATTTGTACCCTGAGGCCTACACTTCTTCATATCTTACATGGAAATAGTAAATCTGCCTCAATGGGTCACTTTAAGCATCACTGAATTTTGTACAAAACATCCTAGAGGGGTGTTTGTCACAGGACTGGAGCCTGTGGAAGTGCTAGCTGTTACAATATTTGTGTTTTACCATAAAGATTGAAATGCACAAATAAATAAATGGGGTATATCCACTTTAGTTCAGGACAAAGAAGTCTACAAAGTCACCTGCCCTTCTCCTCCAACCCTGCAGTCACACAAGGCCAGCAGCCCAGTAGGTTCATTCCTTCCCTCTATAGCTAGTGAATGCCACAGGGCCAGACAGATATCCCAAACACGAGATGCATCTCACTTGTCACAGTCCTTCTCTCTACCTTCCACATCTTCCACTCTGGAGGCCTCTTTACCTAGCCCTTCAAATGCTAAGGCTGTTTGTGGCATCAGGCATCAGTTTTTCAAAAGTAGGAGACTGAAAGAAAGGAGGTCTACAGAAGACCAGTGATGGGGTTTTCCTTGACTGTGGGAAGTGAGACTCCAGTGTTAAATAATAACATTGCTAGGCCTAACGGGATTCCCACAGCACATACCACAGGGGTGTTACTGAATATGTACACACTTGTATGCTCGAGTGTGTACACATGTGTGAGACAGAGAGGTATTGAGAAGGAGGATCTAAACCAGACCTCAAGGCCACCTCAAGCAGCATCCACAGTGATTGGGCTAGTGCACAGTGCACAAATGGCGACCACTTACCCACAGTGACATGGACAGGCTCAGTACTGTGCCTGTGTCCCTCTTCACTTTCAGGGGTACTACGGCTGGAACTCAGGTTGTTTCTCTTCTTAATGTGGGCCACCACAAAGAAACATAAGCCCACTAGCACAATCAAGGGCCCCACGATCTGTAAAGAAAGGAAACCACAGATCTGGGGCTCTGCTTCAGCAGTGTTTGTCTCGTTCAGTGGCTCCTGCACCCAGTCTGAGCCACATCCAGGCACCCAAATGCCCAGTACACTGATGAGCATGCCGCTGGTCAGGAACAGAAACCCGAAGATGAGGCATTGAGCAAACTGGCGGCTCTCTCCACAGAAGAAAACTTGGTCTGGGTTCTGGTGGCCTCGACGCTGGGCTTCTCGGAACTGTAGGCGAGCCCAGGACCGGGCCAGGATCACAGCCCCTAGCCCCACCACAGCACACGACGGCCCGGCGATCTTCAGCACTGTACTGCAGTGTGAGAGGGGTTTGTATTGGCATGCCTGGTACCCAAAGATGGAAAGCAGGACTCCCACACACAACAGGACTGCACCGAAGACAAAGAGGAAGAAAATGAGCTTGCTGACACGCCTGTCCCTCTGGTCCCCATCTGGCTCTGCAGTTGCTACAGAAGACATGGCCAGAAAAGGCCTCCTTCCCCTGCGTCGGGGGAGGGGTGTGTATTTTCTTCCCTCCAGGGACTCCAAAGCTCTGCAAACAATAACAAATGCCAAATTACAGTGGGCACAGGTATTTCTGACCAGCTGTTTCTTGCTGGCAGTTTCAGAAATCACAGGAGGATGAAATCTCAGGAGGCAGAATTTTATACAACTGATATGCTGCAAAACAATGACTTGGCCTATGAGTCAGGAGAACTGGAATTCAAAAATTCCTGAATGTGTAATTTCATGAAGATATCAAAAAAGAGGAAATTCAATTACCATGCCTCTGCGATAAGAATAGCTTTTGAAAAACAAATAAAACAAAATGGGTGTAACTTTTCCTATTCTGAGTCTTACAAACTCATTTCTCAAGGCCAAGAAACAATGTCAGATGAGGGAAGAGCCATGGCTAAAGTAGTAAATTCTCATATACAGATGTCCCATATCTTGTTAGAGCTGCTCTGAGCATTTTCGTAAAATTTTGATAACTTTCCACTCCCTGTTTTAGACTTCGGCAACTTTCCATTTCATGCTCTATTCCCAGGCTACCTCTACACAACACCCAAGTCCAGCAGTTTCAACAGAAAGGAACGGAAGTTCAGGAAGATAGTGCATTTGAGGATTTTTACATTAATTCTGTCAAAATGTGATTCTTGGGTTCTCAGGATACAAACACTGGGGCTGCCCAGACACAGCCTCTCACTAAAGACTCAGTTTCTGGATCCTGGCATAACCTGGGAGAAACTGGCCCAGCAGGTAAAGTGGTGCCCCATCACCAAGGCAGATAGTACCCTAAGCAGATGGCTCTCACCCTCCTCCACAAAGAGGCTTCATTTCAGTGAAAAGTAAGTAGCTGATAACATCACCAGTTAGGAAGCACTAAAGGCCAACAGAACTTGACTGGGAAATAGAAGTGGAACCAAGTCGGGAAAGCACCTTGCACACAATGACATAAGCCCCGTCCTTCAAGAGTATTACACACTAAGCACCACCCTGTTGTTAGAGGGTACTCCGGCTCATGCAACACTAATCCGTCATCCAGTCACCCTGTCTTGATCCAGTGAATGGGAGTAAGGGTCCTCAATGTGGACCACTCACAAACACAATCCAAAGTCAGGAAGAACACGTTCTCTTGCCCAAGGAGAAAACACTTTTCAACATACTTTGCCATTCACATCCATGAATTCATGATCACATAAAGGTATTCAAGGCTGAGGCGCTAAGGTCCAGACCATCTCAACAAACCAAAAGCTCATCAAAGGAAGTGTAGTTTAGGTAAAGAAAGTAAACAGCTGATTACAGCCTACGATGTACTTTTCCCGGAAAAAGTGTGATAGAATCGGAAGTATGTGGAGGGGGAAAAGGAAGCAGGAGAAAAATAAGCTTTCATCTCAAACTTGGAAAAACCACAATCCATAAAGATGCCACTAAGCTGAGAGAAAGCTTTACAGCATTGTGCTAATTTAAAACCTATTTCCCTCAGTACGGCATTGCTGGTTTCCAAGAAGGTGTGATCTCAAATCCTATCAGACTCACTGTACTCGGTTTCTTCAGCTTTTCAGCCCTGCAGATTCCAACTGTCTTAGTGCTAATTCCCTGAACACCAACAATTTAAAGACCTTAAACTTCTATCCCCCAGGACTAGTAGAATAAATATCTGGCACATGTATTAGACTCAGATCTAAAGTAAGACGCGGATTGTCTCAGCACTCCCTTAGGGGCACCCAAAACTGGACACCCCAGCGGATCCCCATGAACAGAAAATTTACATAGAAAATTGAATCGTGTCCAAACACTATCTTAAACTTAATTTTCTCAAAGCCAAATTCCCCTCCCCGAAGTCAAATCTTCCTGCCCAATTCCTTTGGTTTTCCAAAAGACATTTCTAAATCAATTACATCTCTCCATATCCAAGGTTCAGGTGCGATGGGGGAGCCAGGCAAGGAGCGGTCTTTGTCTGGGTTCTCCGGGCTTCAGAGGAGGCGAGAGTGGTTGCAGTTCCCAGGGGCGACTCTTACCCGAATTGGTCCTGCTGTGCTGAGCGCCCGGCGGCTGTGGCACACACACCGCTGCGCGCCGGGCGCGGAGGGCGGGCCGCCTCCGTGTGCAAAGCCAGGCAGTGCCCGACCGCGGGCGAGGCGGCCGGGCGGGGCAGGGTAGGGCTGACCGGTGGGAGCTGGCTGCTGCCAGGTGCTGCCTTCCGGGGGCCGTGCTGGAGCGCTGAACCAGGGGTGACTGGAGAACTTGGCCGTGCACGCTAGGGATCCGGGGGAAATAGGCGCGCTTCACCAGACTAGGGATACTGGCGACTTGAAATTGTCCCCCTGGCTGCCAGGGGTTGCGCGCTGGGGCGCCCGGGACACCCGCAGCTGTCAGGGGAGCTGGTCCCTTTCCAGCGTGGGCAAGAACCTGGCGGGAGGGTGGGGGGCTTCAAGAGAGCGGAGCAAGGGCCAGAGTAACAATGAAAGCCGAGCCGCACTCCCTGTCTGCGGCAAAGAACGGTCCCCTCGTTCCCGCAGTCACTACCCGCGCCACCGCAATCAGAGGCCCTGTGACCCTCTTACTGCCCCTGGAGACCTTGACTTAGAGTCACAGGAGCCAGAGCCTCTCTGGGAGCTTCCTACAGCAATATATATGGACACCAGAGCCTGCTGGAGAATGACAGAGGACTTTGTACCCGAGCCATTCAACCTGAGGTCCTAGCCCAGAGACGGAAGCGGACCCCACGCAGGCCCTGTGTTGGGTCGCCTGTGTCCCTTTCGCAGTCACACTTGTGCACGCAGCCCTCCTTTGCCATCGAGCCCCCTTCCTGGTGCTCTGCCGCTAATGGGCTGCAAGGATTAAGCTGGTAACTTTCCCAGCCCTTGAACGGAGTTTCAGATGTGTTTGTTAATCTGCGTGCTATTTCTAACCTGTCTCGTGACTCTTGACAAGTATCCACCTGTGCTAGTTTCCACACTAGAGGTCAGGGCACTGTGAAAGGTGAGTCAAGGGCTGGGCCTAAACACCAAGGCACCCTGAGCTCTGGGGACTTCCTGACCCTTGCCTTCTCTCTCTAGCTTCCTGCTCCTCCTCCTCCACCTTCTTGAATTCCCATTCATTGGATTAACCATATTTATTAGCTTCCTGATAGAGCAAACCATATGAAATCTTTCACTACAGATAAAGAATGAGTTAGAATTGGTAAGAAGGGACAGGGAAAGATGGAATCAGAGCTGGGCAAAGAGGGATGGGGAGTTGCCTGGACTGGGCTGGTGGAGTGGGATAGGCAAAGCACACTGGACAGGTGCCAATCATGGGAATGTGGCAGGGGCATTTGCCTGGTGGGTCAGATGTGGACTTTCTCACAGCCAGGGTGCTCTGAGCGCCAAGTCTCTGCTGTCACTAAATAATAAGGTTGACTGACGGATACTAACATTAACATTCAGCACTTGGCCACTCTGTGAAGGTCCTGAGGGTTATTTGCAGCCCATGCTTCTTTACTGTGTGTCCCCAGAAGCTCAGGGAAGGTTGGGGCCAAAAGTGGATGGGGACCTAGAAAACCAGTCATCTTTGAGTGGAGGACCAGAGGCCCAAAGAGGGGTAACAGTGACCTCTGCATCTGGTTGAGATGGGGCAAGCAGCCACATGTACTGATGGCTCAGTGTTCTTCCCTGAGTTCACCTGTCACCCAGAGGACACACATGCTGTGAACTTGGAAAGTGCTTTTTTTATTACTGCATCTTGTGATGCCAGGGAGGGACCAGAACAGACCAATAAAGGCCCTATCCCAAGGATATTGTAGCCATCCATGTCTTAGGTGGAGATACCCTGGTCAAAGTGTCAAAGATAGACCAATCACCTTCTGGGTGGGCCCCAAGATACACCAAGTCAATGAACAGAGAACTAACAACGGCAATTGCACAGTAGTTGTGAGCCCCAGGCTTTCTAAGAACTCAGGCCTTCTCACAGGATTACCCTCCTCTGACCCAGGCCTGCCAACAGCTAGCTTTTCACTGTACAAGAGATTTCCATATTCTTTCCCAACTCATTCTTTCCTTCTCCCTTGTTTGAAAGTCAGTCTCTGGCCAAGTCCCGTATGAGCCTGCAAGGGGCTAGTTGATACAGCTGCCCCTCTGGTGCCACATGACTGCGGGCTCACCACCCATGACAGACTTGAATGTCCTGGCACCAAGGACAATCAGATTAGCCTCTCCTTGGGATATCTACTGTTTGTGTCTTTTGGAGCTTATTTGATTAAATTAAAGCCTTGGAAACTGATCACCAGTCAAGTATGACTTCAAGGTACTTGTCTTCAGAGCAGACCTGGTCTTGGGAAAGAGGCTGAATGATCTTATAAACAAATCTAAGTGGTCCTCCCTAGCCTATATGGCAGCTAGAAAAAATAAGTCCAAACTGAACCCTTAAAAAAAAAAAAACATGGGACCATGATTTAAAACTGGATGAAGCTAATCACAGTGGTGCATGCCTGTAATCCTAGCACTTGACTGAGGATCATGAGTTCAATGCCAGCCTGGGCTGTGTAACAAGTTCTAGGCCAGCCTGGTCCTCATAGTGAGACCCCATCTGAAAATAAATTAAGGGCTGGAGAGATGGCTCAGCAGTTAAGATCACTTACTGCTCTTGCAGAGGACCCAGGTTTGGTTCCCAGCACCCATATGTTAGCTAACAACTACCTGTAACTCCAGTTCCAGGGAATCCAACACTATCCTCTTCTGGCCTCTGTAGGCACTGGACACACATGGTATACTTACATTCATGATGGCCAAACATTCATACACATAAAATAAAAATGTCTTTTATAAGAGGTTCATTAATCCTAATTGGGGTTTTTGTTGTTGTTGTTGTTTTGAGACAGGGTCTCCCTATAGCCCCAGTTCCTGGCCTGGAACTCACTATGTAGACCAGGCTGGCCTCAAACTCACAGAAATCCACCTGCCTCAGCCTCCCGAGTGCTGGGACTAAAGGCATGTGCCACCACACCTGGCCCAAACCTAATTTTTTAAAAACCTGGATAACCCTAAAATTCAGTCCATGAATACAAGGGGGTAAAGCATGATAAGAGACAAGCATTCATTTATTCACTGGTCATTATAGGATTTCAATGGGGGAGAAAAACAATGCAGCATGTACCTTATACAGAGAATTAGAAAGCTAAGAAAATCAATAGATTGGGGCCTGGAGAGATGGCTCAGCGGTTAAGAGCACTAGTCTCTTGCAAAGGACCTAGGTTTGATTCCCAGCACCCACATTGTGGCTAACAACCATCAGTAACTCTAGTTCCAGGGGATCTGACACCCTCTTCTGACCTCTGCAGGCATTGCACAACACAGTTGCACTTACATACATGCAGGCAATATACTCATACACATAAAATAAAAAATAATAAAATATTTTAAGAAAAGCATTATATCAAGGATGGGGAATAGGTGTGCTGATCTAAATGGAACAAATTTTGAAGGTGTCTGCAGACTCTGAAGCACAAACCTGAAGGGAATGAGGAAGCCTTGCACTGTAGGGTTGCGTAACACACCACCCCAAAACTGAGCCGCTTAAAACAATAGATTTACTGTCTCTCCCAGTTTCTGAGGGTCAAGTGACTTTGGGAGCGGCTTAGCTGGGTGGTTCTGGTTTAGGGTCTCTCCCAAGGCTGCAGTCATGCTGCTAGCCAGGGTGGCAGGTATGTGAGGTGTGGCTGCAGCTGGACTGCCTGTTTCCAGGGTGATTCACTCCTAGGGCTGTTGTCAACAGTCATTCATTCCATAGAGCCTCCAGAACGGCCTCCAGACAGGGCAGCCGGCTTCCCCTGGGGGAAAAGGAGGGAAAGCTGCATGCTTTCCATAAAGCAGCCTCTAGGATCCACTCCTCTCCCATCCTCAGGATTGAGCCACCAAGTCAAGGAGAGGGGAGGAGAATTAGGATGCCTACAATTGGTGATATCTAGGGGAAGAAAGAATACTTTAGGCAGAGATGATGGCAGGCAAGTAAGGCTCAGAAGCATACATATGGATTTGTATATTCAGAGAATAGCAGGAGGCCAGGGTGGCTAAAGCAGGTGAGCTAAGGAGTGAGGAGAGTCCCAGACCTTAGAGAAAAGTAGGCCCCCCATACTCAGGACTGGAGAGCAAATTCCTACAAAGTGGGCATGGTGGGGGCTCAGGAAACACTAGAAACTGAAAGGAGGGGAAGCCTGCCAGGTTGTGTGGGGTCTTGAGAGTCTCTGGAAGAACTCTGAGTAGAGAGAAGTCTTGGGGTGGCTTTGAGCTGAGTATATGATCTATTTAATTTTTTGAGATGAGCTCTCAGGTGGCCCAGGCTGATTTGGAGTTCATAGGATCAAGTGATCCTCCTGCCTCAGCCTTCTAAGCAGCAAGAGCTACTGATTCATTCATTCACTCATCCATTCCTTTAATATTTTATTCCTTTGTAGTGCTGGTATCAAATCCAGGGCTTTGTTGTGCTAGGCAAGTGCTTTACCAGTAAGCCACATCCCAACCCTGGGGTGTTTATTTTTTTAAGGTGTTTTTAAAGATTTGTTTTTATTTTTTTAATGGGAGGGGGCTGAAGAGATGGCTCAGCAGTTAAGAGCACTGACTGCTCTTGCAGAGGACCTAGGTTCGATTCCCAGCACCCACATGGTGGCTACAAACCGTCCTTAACTCCAGTTCCAGGGGAATCCAAAGCCCTCCTTCTGACCTCCAAGGCATTGCATGATATGGGTACACTTACATACATGCAGGCAATACACTCATACACATAAAATAGAAATAAAATATTTTTTTTAAAATTGTGTGTGTGTGTGTGTGTGTGTGTGTGTGTGTGTGTGTAGAGTTATGTGCACATGTGAGTGCAGTACCCATGGAGACCAGAAGCATCAGATTCCCTGGAGCCACTTGATGTGGGTGCTGGGAATGGAACTTGGCCCTCTGGAAGAGCAGCAAGTGCTCTTA